GAATAAATAGGCTGAGTAAGGGACCTTTAAGTAGGAATCAATGTGCGTATGGTAGAGAGGAAGGACATTGGAAGAATGAGTGTCCACAGAGAGAGCATTATGAAAATAATAGACAAGGAGAGAGAAGAGTACGGGGAGGTTATAGTGGTAGTTATAGAGGAAGAGTAAGTTTTGGAGGGAACGGTGGGAAAAGTAGAGGGAGTGTTCAAGGAGATAGATATTACCCACCTACTCAGAGACCAAGAGATAGAGAGGATAGAGATTTTGTGGGTCTGGATGACACTATCATGGAAGACTATTGATACCGACCGGGCTCCATCCCCCTTAGCCGAGCGGAGCCTATGGTCGATGTAGCAATAGGGGGAAAGAGAAGTTCTTTCATGATTGACACTGGTGCTGAACAAAAACTAAACTGGTGGCTCCGCCTTCAGGAAAAACTATAACTGTGATAGGAGAAGCGCAGCTAGACCGGTTCTTAAAAGTCGCACGTGCATTCTGGGAGGCCATTTGGTGAAGCACCAGTTCCTATATATGCCAGAGTGTCCGATTCAACTTCTAGGGCAAGATCTATTATCGAAGCTCCAAGCCCAGATAACTTTTCTACCCAATGGATCAACGCCTCTGAGGTTTAATGGATTACCAGGCAGAATGGCGGTATCGGTGCCAAGAGAAAAAGAATGGCGCTTCTACTCCATAATGACAAGTGTAAATCCAAAGAGTGATGAACCTTTATTTGACATTCCAGGAGTATGGGCAGAGAATAATCCACCTGGGCTTGCTCGTAATATTCCACCTATACATATTGAACTAAAGCTTGGGGCCTATCCTGTGAGCCTACGTCAGTATCATATACCTCAAAAGGCTAAGAAAACATACAGACTTACTTGGATAAGTTAGTAAGGTATGGCATCCTAAAATTCTGTACTTCCCCCTGGAACACTCCATTATTACCTGTTCAGAAACCGGGATCAGATGAATATCGTCCTGTACAAGATTTTATAGCAGTTAATGATGCAGTAGTCAATATACATCCAGTTGTACCCAACCCTTATAATCTACTTGTTTTGATACCAGGTGGGGCAACCTACTTCACAGTTCTAGACGACCTAAGGATGCTTTCTTTTGCCTTCGGATTGCTGCTGAGAGTCAGTGTATCTTTGCTTTCCAATGGGAATATGCTGTTACAGGTTCAAAGCGTCAGATGACCTGGACCAGACTACCTCAAGGGTTCAAGAATTCACCTACCCTATTTGGATCTGCATTAAGCCAGGATTTGCAAGATTTCAAGTCCATCCCAGGAGAATGTGTATTGCTTCAATACGTGGATGATCTTTTGATAGCGGCTGTTACAAAAGAGATATGCCAACAAGCAACTTATGATTTGCTTCACATTCTATGGAGAGCAGGATACAAGGTATCAAAGAAGAAAGCGCAATTGTGCCAGTCACCTGTTAAATATTTAGGATTCCATATTTCCGAAGGTCAAAGAATAATGGGACCTGAAAGAAAAGAAGCAGTGTGTCGGATATCTATACCTAAGAATACAAGTGCGAGAATTCTTAGGAGCAGCAGGATTCTGTAGGATATGGATTCCTAATTATGCGATACTGGCGAAACCTCTATATGAAGCTGTGAAAGGCACAGAATATGATCCCTTTTTGTTGACCTCTGAACAACAGAAGGCATTTGAGTATGTTAAGAAAGCACTTATGAGTGCCCCAGCCCTAGGTCTACCAGATCACACTCGTCCTTTCTATCTGTATGTACATGAGCAAAGAAGAATGGCTGTGGGAGTATTAACTCAGTATTTGGGCTCATGGCAAAGACCTGTAGCTTATATGTCCAAACAGTTGGATGCAGTGGCCAGTGGTCTTCCACCTTGTCTGTGAGCAGTGGCCGCCACTGCACTGTTGGTAGCAGAAGCTGACAAGCTCACATTGGGTCAGGAACTCTATGTGCGAGTACCCCATGCAGTACAGACCCTATTGGATTACAAAGGAAATCATTGGTTTAGCAACAGTCGAATGACCAAATATCAAGCCATGTCATGTCAACCATAGACAAGGAGATAGAAGCACGGCCACTGTCGAAAGGGACATGAGCACAGAAGGCGGAACTGATTGCATTAACAAGGACCTTGCAATTAGCTGAAGGGTTGAGAGTGAATATTTTCACAGATTCGAAATACGATTTTCTAACCACCCATACCCATGAAGCATTGTTTAAAGAAAGGGGATTGTTGAATTCAGAAGAGAAAGAAATCAAGTATGCAGCAGAAATACTCCAACTATTAGAGGCGGTATGGGAACCGAAGGAAGTCGGTATAATACATTGCAGGGCACATCTGAAAGGTGATAGTGATGTAGTAAAAGGAAATCGCATGGCCGATAGTGCAGCAAAACATGCTGCTGAATCCGGGAAAGAGGAATATGTGGGGTATGTTGCTGCCCTTGTGCCGGCACCTCTGTCTCAATGGACTCCGATATATACAACCCAAGAGATGGAGTGGTTGAAGACTGAAGCTGGGAAATACTTGGGGAATAATTGGTATAAGTTAGATGGAAGAATAGTTATTCCGACATCTCTGGCTATAGAGATTGTTCAGAACTTCCATAATGGTACACATTCAGGAAGAGATAGTATGGAAGAATCTCTCAGGAAACATT